ATATATATATATATATATACCAGCAGGAAATATAGTTGTGGCTTTTGCTGGCAGCAATAATAAGTTTAGGTTCCTTATCTGGATGATGTTTGTATTAGTATAAAGTCAGTTCATGCCAGCAATTAGGACAGATTTAAGCTTGTTTGTGTCTCGCCTTTATTATTTTTACAAATAACTTAAGGTGGCAAATGTATTCAACATGCCTTCCTCCTCTTATTTTCCCCACAACAACAACAACTGTGAGGTGGGTTGGCTTGAGAGAGAGGGACTGGCCCAAAGTCACCCAGCCGGCTCCCGTGCCTAAGGTGGGACTATAACTCACCATCACCCAGCCAGTTTTTATACCTAAGGCAGGACTATAACTCGCCATCTCCTAGTGATTGATCCAAAGTCACCCAGCCAGTTTTCATGCCTAAGGTAGGACTAGAATACACAGTCAGCCAGCCAGCTTTCGTACCTAAGGCAGAACTAGAACTCACAGTCTCCTACTTTCTAGTCTGGTGCCAGCCACTAGACCAAACTAGTTCCATTATGGCCAAGTCATCATCTTCCAGTTAAGCTCTTGATAACCCAACTTTGCCACTGTTTTTTCCTTTTTCTCCCCTTCACTGGTGTCCAATTCTCGGGTGCTGCCTGGAGAAAACCCCTGTGGTTTTCTTGGCAATGTTTTGGTTTGCCATTGCCTCCTTCCTAGGGCAGAAAGGGAGTGACTGGCCCAAGGTCATCCAGCTGAAGCCAATCTCCATGAGCGCCCCTGCCTCCCTAATTTGGTTGTTGTTCTTGGCATCCAAATATGTTCTCTTGTCTCTTCTCTTTAGACATATATCGTTGACGCTTCCCGCCAGTTTCCGAGGGAAGGGGAATGGCACTCGGCCAGATTTTGAATATCAGCACTCCAATTTATATGCCATTTCAGGTAAGTGGCAGATCTCCTTGTTCAATAAAGAGATTTTCTCTGCAGACCATATTTTTTGGAGTATAAGATGCTCCGAAGTATAAAACGCGCCTAGCTTTTGGGGAGGAAAACAATGGAAAAATATCTGCCTCTGCTGAAATTTTGGTGGTCCGCAGAAAAATTATTTGCATTTTTTATATGGCACTAAATCAGGGGTCCTCAAACTACAGACCCTGGGACGGATGCGTGCAATGAACGCTTGTATTGCTGCAGAGATACCCCTTCGGGGTATTTTTGTAGGTGTCGGGGGGGGGAGAAATTCTAACTTGGGGTCTGCTTCAGCCTCCTGGTGGGGGGCTTTGGGCGAAGGCTGGAGGGAAGAGCCGCTGGTGGTGAAGAGCCGGAGAGCCTCGTTCCATTGGGACTGCATCATGGCGTGAAAATGGCTGACCATCTTGGCCCGCTGAGCCTCCAGGCGCCGGCACCTGGCCTTGAACTCCCGCAGGTCTTCCCTCTGCTTGGAAAGCCCATGCTCCTAGTCCTCAGTGAGGTGCTTCTGCTGAGCCTTCTTCTCAGTCAGATCCAATTTAACTGAGCTGTTTTGCCAACTCTTTCTCCTGGTGGCTGCTTAGCTCCAGCAACTGCTTCCTGGGGCCCTAAGGACCCTGGGCGGGCAGGCGAGGAGGGGCTGGGAGGGGAGGGGCGAGTAGAGGCTGGCGAGATCCCACTTGAATGTTGAATGTTGAATGTTTATTTTATTTATATGCCACCCTTTTCCCCCGAAGGGGACTCAGGGCGGCTCATAACTCAACTAAGGGAGGGGGATACAGACAACAAATTAAAACAACGGGCAACAATACATAATTTAAAACACACAACAGTCATACCATTTGAGAAAGGGGTAGAAGCTTTTTAGCCCCAGG